TCCCATTCTTGCACAAGGGCACTCTAGAAAATGAACAGAGCTTTGTCAGATCTAAGTATTTATGGGTTTTGTGACAGCCACTGAACTTATTACCAGATGGTTTACTCACGGCACAGAAAAAAAGCTAAAGCACACTGAAAATGCCTGTACCCTTTGCCTGGAACTACAGACTAGAATTGTGTCGCACGTTACATTTGAAATAGAGAGCAGAAGTGCTCCTTGAATGTTCGAGTTACGGTATCTGTTAGCTCAAGATATACAAGGCTTTGATTTATTATCCTACGCAGGGAATAATTATAAAATAACCTTTTATGTCATTCTCAGTTTCCTCTGAGAGCAAGGCCTGTCATAAATAATACTGCATGAGTGACTTGGTATTTCTTATGGATGAAAAGGCCGACGCTGTTATCAGAGCAGAAAACAGATGTTAATGCGGTTCTGCTCCAAAAGGTGAACTTCAGTGTTCTGTGGCAGAGATGAAAGGACCCTATAATGAGTGTTCGCAGTGTTGAAAAGTTGAGTTACACTCAAGTGTGTGTCTGTCTCCGGATTAATGACTTTTCAAGCTGTTTCTGATTGTCTTCTCTCCCTCTCCCTCTCTTTATGAGGTACCTGGCCTTCTGAGCACAGTGTGACCCAAAGTTTTTCCAGATATTCATTCACATTATATATATATAGTGTAGATATAAAATGTATTAGCTTTTTCCATTTTCACAGCAATGAAGGTGCTGGAACCATCTAAAGAGACTTTTAATTCCTCCTGAGTTCCACAAATGAGCAGAAGTTTCACAAAAGTATAAGTAACTTTCATGATTCCTCCCTTTTCAGAATTATGAAAACAGCAATATTAACTCCCACAGTTCAGAGCAACCATGTGTACTCAAATCACCATAAACCTGAGAGGTGTTCCTTATGAAATATTTATATATTATTTATATCTGTGTGAAGACAGACGTCTGTGGTTTAAAATAAGAGTCCAGACTCACATTGGATATGTTCGATGATTTTTAACTGACATCAAGAAAGCCTTTCATGTCACTTCAGACATACGCTAGTGATTAAGGATTTGATTTTTCTTTAATGTGGATTTCCCAGTTGAAAAGCAGACTTGTCAATTGAATTTTGAGCTAGCCTTCTTTATTTTGGTCCAGATTGTAAGATTATAAAAAGTAATGTAATCTATTAAGCAAATCACACTTAAGCTGCCACTTAAAAAAATACAATGGCAAAGGATAATATTATTCCTTTACATGAAAGCAGAGGAATAAATGAGTGTAGCTAATAACTAACTTTTCATCTGGCTGTATGTATCTCAGTAAATGCTGTATATGCGTGTGTACTCATTTGTAAATCACTATATATATATAAAAGTATCACTCTAAGTGTTCAGTGGGTGTATGCCAAGGCACTCCAAGTGGCATTTGAAATACAATCTGGATTCGGGTAGGAATTAATAATTTTGGCTTAGACTTCATCTCCTGAGCAAAAAAAAAAACGTACAAGAGCTTGAAATCTTCTCCAAAATATGCTCTATTTGCCCCCGAATAGGCAATGTACCGCCAGGGACAGAAAAATGAGATTAACTGCATTTGGCAAGCTGGTCCCCCGAGTCTATATAAAAGCGTGATAGACCACAGTGTAGCGGGATATCGGGGACTTGGAGGGAGCAACAGATGGTCCTGGCTGAGGAACAGTAAAAAAAACTGCTTTCCGTGAGGAGCAGCTTGGCATCTTCTATTCTGGAGTGCTGTTTGCTCACCTGGGGCTGGCTCAGATGTTTCCTGGTCTCCCACCTGTTATGCAGGTGACACCCCCTTCAGCTGAGCCTAGTCCCCAGGACACAGTTCCTTACCAAGCAAGAGCAGCTCCCTCCGTTTCAGGCGCTCTGCCTGTTGGATCATTTTGCAAGTTAGATACAGTCCTGTTAAGACCATATGGGGCTACACATGTGCCCTTCGAATCACTTTCCAATGCTGTGTATAATTGTACTTCATTTTCTTTTTAAAAAATGTATTTGTGCATTGATAAGGAAGTATTATACAGTATGTGTGATTGATACAATTACCTACAGTACCTATTGATACAATTCCTGCTGATTGTTTTATATCTTTCGTTGCATTAAATAAAACTGATCAAAATGTAGATGCAGAAGGGATGATATTGTTATATTCTGATGCACAGAAGGAACCAAACTTGGACAACGAAGGAATCAAATGTCTATGGGAAAGACATTTCCTGTAGGATGTAAAAAGTTTGCTCCCTTGTTTTGCAATGAACCTTAAGAACAAGCAATTATCTGAAAACGTGATCTGCAAAGCAGCTACAGTGTCATTGCTGCAATACACATGGTGCTTTTTCTACCAGAGAAAGATCAGACAGTGGGACTTGTGAATCCGAAACGCAATGAGGAGAAGAAAGAGCTGACACAATGGTCTCTGATATTTAAAAAAAGAAACACAAAATGCATGTTATAGGAGTTTTGGGTACAGGGCACTAGCTATTCCATTTAATCGTGTTTTGTTACTGATGCCTCTTCAAGGTTCGGTGCTTCTCTCTTTATACTGTATTGTACAGTATGTACAGTGCCTCTTTTGAGGCTTTCTCTCATGCTAGTTGCAATAGTGCTGTACACAAGCTGATTGAGCATGCAGGAGCCCAACTTGCAGACCAGTACCCCTCTGCACAGATGTGCATCCTTTGCCCCTGAATTTCAAAGTCAGTGCCAGCTTGGTATATTGGCATTTCCAAACTGCCTTGTGCTAACTGTCACCCAATGTTGGGTGGCCTCTCATTTGTTTTGCTGACATTTGCCTTCATTTGATTGTGGGTTTAACAGGGAAACCAAAATTAATTGCAGTGAAGTCTAGTTTGTCTGGCTGAAATGTCACCCTTCTATTACATGTGCACAGTGACACGGTGTGGAAGAGGCAGTGAGAAAGTAGGAGGGAGGGGGAGGCTTTCCATAAGAATGCAAATACCTGTTGATTTCGGCATTTCTTCTCTCCTGATTCATTCGTGTCTTTTGTCTTCAGCTGACATTAGGTGGCATTTGTCACTTTACTTTGCAGCTCATAGAGCACTAAATCTTTCATGTCAGCTTTGCAGACTGGCAGTGGAGAATGATAAACTTTTGTGTTTTGCATATATCTAATATTTATTTTACTTAAATTCCCTAAAAGTGTCAGGGAGCCTTAATTCCCCTTCCTTTGATGCTACAATGCCTGCTCCACAGAGTAAATGGCAGGGATCATTGTGTTCCCTATGTTTTTTTCATCACCAGTGAGAAAAAAATCAGAACTCCACATGATCAAAGTGTGGTAATACACACAGACGATCCTTGGCAGGTTTCTGAGGAGATTGTTTCAAAGCTACATGCTTTCTCACAGGACCACTGTTGAAAAAAAAATATGTTAAAGCTAGTCTCTGTGGAGCTAGCTGCTTAAATAATGTCTGACAAAGTAAAATGAGGCCTTTGCTGGATGGATTCAGTAAGTACAGTTGGTTTTACAGAGAGTAAATAGCTGCAGTCTGTGTTATAGATATTACTTATTCTTTTCTTGTTACAGTCTCTCTTGAAACAGTGGCCGGTAAAGGGCAGTGTCTCAGCATGTGGGGATGGGGTCTGGCAGAGCACTCTGTCATTAAACGCCCAGTGATTTCCTCTCAGCTGTCATTCCTATTCTGTTTGCTGTCCTGCCGAGATCCTTTGGCATCAGAAAGGGAGAGTCAGCTACAGTTCCAGCTACAGTAGGCTCTCTATAATGAGTGCTAACTGATCTTCCGAGACCATAGGGCGAGGGAGCGGGGCCAGTGGAGGGCTGGGACTGAGGCCGATTCTCTCCCAGCCTTCTCGTTAATAACTCGCAGCCAAAGAGCAAGAGCAAGAGATTCCATGACCTGCTGACCCATGACCTCCACTGGCACACTGCCTCCGCAGGTTGGCAGGTGAATTGGTGCCTCACTGAAACGAAAGCATACTGCAGGCGAGAGACGTGTGACTCATTTAACAGGCCACCGGCTCTTGAGAGAAGCCATTTGCAAGAATACCTTTTTCGAAATTCTCATTTTCTATCAGAGAATCAGGCTTCTGCAATCTAGGCTTAAGTGTAGCCAGATAATAAAGTTTCTGTCTTTTACCTTTTTAAATGCCTCACCAAACGTCTACATTTGTCTTCTCATCACAGGGCTTCGGCTGTAAGTAAATGAAAAGCACCAAACCCCAGCACAATCTGTTTCAGAATGAGAGATACATTTGTTTTCACTTTTTCCCAGTGCCAGCTCCCTCTGATGGTATGATTAACGATGCTGTCTGGTTCATTGCTTTTTGTGCCTTTGACACAGGTCGTGTTTTTTAAATTGCTTCCAAACCACTAGTAGATTGATTGCAATTGACATGTAAATTGATAAGGAGCACCTTCGAAAGGGTAATCCATTAATCATGAAATCTCTGGGGCTTCTCCCTACTAGTATCAATGTTGGTTCAATAGGCATTTATTACTATTCTGTGTACTAATGGATAAGGTTTCCCCCAAGGAACTGACCTTTATGGCCTCAGCAGTCTATTCCGGCTCTCATCCTTTCTTAAGCTTTTGTATCCAATCAGAGCTCTAAGTAGCAGTGCTTAAAATCCTCGAGAGGTGAAAAGAGTATGGAATGCAGGTTTTATTATTCAATGAAGATGTTATGAATAAGCTGGCTTTCAATATTATCTACCTAGAACTCATGTGTCCTGTTGAGGCCATGAGGCCTAGAAAACAAAAATTGGATTATTTCTAAAACACCATTAAAAGCCTGGGGTACAATTGGAGACATTTTGTCTCGCCTGCCAGAAACAGACATTGCAAAATAAGTACCTTGCATTCTGCAGTGCAGTGTGAGCAGGTTTAACTTGACAAATGTGAATTTGCTCATCTCAGTCACAGGTCGTGCATACAAATGAGAAATTACTGAGGAATAAAAAAAAACATGTTTTTAATAATAATGTTTATTATTTTCTTTTGTGAAAAGGTAATAATGTTTCCTTACGTGTTTATAAAGATTTTCATTCATCAAAGATATAGGAGGAGACCCACGTCATCTTCCCCATTGAAGACTAGCCCCCACCTGGGCGAGGCATCACAGACATTTTGCTCCAGCAGTCCCGCTGCTGAGCACATCAGGCAGACCAGTGAGAAGCTGCTACACCAATTGAATTACAAGGGGGAATCAGATGATAATTATTTAAACCCATTTAAATTAAGACAGAGACAAAGAACCTGTGATATTAAAAGAGCTTCTCTTGGCCAGCGTGGAAACAACACATGAACAGAAAACAACACGTACTGTAGACCCTTCATAAAATATCAGCTTTGTGACAATCCATTGTAGTTTAGTTTATCAGGAAATATGATATGGAAATTTCCTTGCATTAACTTTTGTTTACCAAAATCAACACTAACCTTATTTTGAGCCCACACAATTTCAAAACTTCCAAAACAAATCATATGACAGTAATGATGCCACTTACGTTTAAATCTTCGTGTTTCAGTCTGATATACTATATTAGGGCAGTGGCAACTTTATGCTGTATATCATGTAGAAAATAGCGTACCAATGTGTTTATTCAGAAGAAAAACATTCAATCGTTGAGACATCAGGGATCCATGAAGAAGGTTTTTCTGTTTTAACTGAATTCCTCTTTATTCTCTGGACACATTGTGCTGAAATACCAGCTTTTGACTCATGATCCAAAAGCTGCACTTATTGGGCCCTGCAAGACCAGAAACAGAGCAGGATTTCCTTTTCACAGTAAAAACACTGCAGGTATAAGAACTCCTGACATACCCCAGAATAGAATTATTTTCCTGAAGTATACAGGTATATGTTTTGAGTGGCAATTAATTTCATATCGATGTTAAGGATCGTTCATTTATGGGTGCTTATCCTTATTTTTCATTAAATATCTGTAACAAAAATTCAAACTGTTTTTCTTGTCACATAATATGTCTAGACTTTCCTGCCTTGCCAGTGAAATGGATTAACAATTCATAAATACATATGTACAGCAACATTGTGTGCATGTCTTTCACATTTATTAAATGAAGGCATGCCAGCTCACTTCAGCATACCTCAATGAAGATTTCCATGCACTAATGTTGTTTTTTTTATTTTTGCTACAGGCCAAAAAACTACCTCTCATTTTTGAACAAAGCAGGAATGTTATAATGATTCCAGTAAAAGCAGACAAGGAAGAATTTTTTGCCTCCCCACCTCTTTAGCTACCTTCGGTTTCTGTACTCCTCCTGCTGAATAGTCACAACACACTTTGCTCTTTAAAGACGTCTAGACCCTGTGGCAGACTGGCTGCCCTCCCCAGCATGTAATTCAACCCGCTTGAACCCTGTCCCTGCCAGCTCAGGGTCCCTATAAGGATAACTAGGTTTCTGAGGATGGGCGGAAAACTAACCAGAGCACTACTGGTTGAGGAGCAGAGTTTCATTTTGCCCAGATGTTTAGGTTTTAACTATGTCAAGACACAGGAATGCAGAATATGTAGTTGAACATGTGCTATGTTTGTAGAAAACCTCATTTTAAATATTAAAATCCTTACCAGTAACCAGTATGTCTGTATATTTTTGAAAGATCCGCCCTGAACTTACCCAGCACATTGCAATGCAAATGCCACACTGGGCACAGACGCTGCTGATGTTTAAAGCCTGAGAACACTCCCGGCTGAGCAGACAGTTTCGGGTCTTCAAGCAACATTCTTTACAGCCGTTGGTTCTGTGCTTCTCATCGCCTTCCTCTCTAGTGCTGTAGCAGCAGCCCATACCGGTTCCTCGACTCGCTGACGTCTGACTTGAGCCTGGCACGCCCTGCCTGCCCATAAAAATAAGATTGACAGCAGCTCAGTTCTACAGACTTTGATCCTTGAGCTCTTGTACTATACACTTGTAATGTTCACTTTAACTTTACATGTGAATGAGGACTGAGCAAGCAGCTACAATGTGGGCTGAGCAGATGATTTATTGAACATCACAACATGTGTCAGCTTTTGTTGATCCCTGCTAACTGATCCTTCTTCTAAGAAGAGGGTATATATACTGTATCTTATTATATTTTATATGTATACATGCACTGTACAGTTTTTAATATCAAAATTCAACCTATATTGGATTTTGGGAAACCACACTTTGTAAAACTTGGTGTTTAATGTTTTGTGTTTAATTACCTATTAAGATCTGCAGATGTTACTAACACTGGAATGGTCTGAAGTCCTGCTTAATTTTAGGAGTTTCAGTCAAGCTCCCAGGGCAGAGTGTTTCAATGGGCAGACTGACAAGGACACCCACGCACCACACCCTACTAGGCTGACTGGGACAGTGAACGTCTGCAGGGATGGAGAATGGTGAGGACTGAGGGAAACAAGACTATGAAATCTCGAAAGTTGAGTGCTTGGCCTATGGGCCTTCCCTTGCACACGTTTGTTTAAAATTCAGATCAATGGAAAATCAACACATTCATATGGAAATCAATGTAATGTAACTCAATAACTTCTAAAAGATAACTTGGAGACAACGTCACATGCTAACTCAGGAGTGGTGCTTACAGTATTGTACAGTGCCCTGGCACACCTTCGATCTAAAGGGATGTTGTCATGACTCACAGTGACCTGGTTGGCACACATGCTGTCACCTCTAAGTGCACCCTTTACAAAGATTCATTTTTTTAAAAAAAGTTTGATGTTGTCTGTGTAACATGAATGAACTATTTTTTTTTTGTATTGGCTTTAATTCAATCCAACACTCTATTTAGAGTTACATATGTACCAAGAGGTATACTGTATGTATGTACTGTATATGAGAAGATAAAGTGACTGTGTTATTCAATCTTCTTATTACATGAAAAAGCTACACATCACTTTCAATGGATGCCTTTAACAAACCTACACCATAACTCCGACATGGAAATGACACTGTATTCTTAGAATTTAGAGATCTGGCATTTATTATAAAAGACATTGAATTAAATCGCCAGCTAAGCTGGCAAAGATGACATTTGAACATCATACTTCTGTAGCGCTTGTGATCAAAAACATGTAATAAAATCCATCAAGAGTTCCTCACATGAATGCTTACACTTAGTAGAGAAAGTAGAAGGAAAAGACAAGAAATGTATGAACAACAGCTATCAGACAGAAAGCCAAAAGAATTCAGCTCTTACCTTTGTCAATTTCTCCCTCTGTGCTTTCTCAAAATTACTGGGGTTCCTCCCTGTATCTTTCTGTACTTTTCTTACTATTTATGTCAGTTTCTCTCAGGTCAACACACCCTTCGCAATGCAGAGTCTAATGTGTGTCTCCACCTTCCACAAGAACTGCCAGTGCATTCCTCGGGCTGCTCTCAAACATCCACATGGGCAGGTTGTACCTGTTTTGCCTTTTGCCTGCCTGCTCACTTAAGGTACATTGTAAAGGATACCAACATTGACTGGGAGAGTCACTTAGTACAACACAATAGAATACGATGCAAATTTCTAATTGAAATAAATAGTTTATTTTAACAGCAGTGCAAAAATAAACAGCAGTGTAAGCAAATGCAAATCCAGTTAAAAGGCATCACTCGGAACTGCTTGCATAAAGGTAAGAATGTTTTTCAGTTTTGTTATAAAAGAATGTAGTTGATCAAAGAGCTCTTAAAACTCTGGATCCAGCCCTTTAGGACTTCAGTGACCAATTAAATACATGTTCACCAGCACAAACGTTGGCAAGCAGTTGCTGGGTTAAAAATCCTACATCTTTATGTCACTTTTCACTAATGTGACTGGAGAAGCAGTTTGAGAGTCACTGTACCTGCAAACACTGGCTCCATTGTATATAATTAACCACAACCAGCCGAATGAACTCATTGCTGATACAGTATGCCACCTCTTGTCTGGGATGAATATTTCTTTTGCAACAGAATTATCAGATATTTGTAGATTTGACATCACAGTTTCCATGCACGTCCTCAAATGCCACAACAAGAGCTCTTCCTTTGAAGGTATTGATATCACCTTGTAAATGTTCATTCACACACAGTTAACAACGGAGAATTTGTTTTTCTTTCTCCATTTAAGCCTGTCTGAGCTTTCACAGGTAAGTATCTATGGTACATTTTTACATTTGTTCCACGTACAACAGTTGGGAGTCAGTTAAAGTCAACTAAAGTCAGTTCCTTTAGTCAGAGGTGAATACTTAACATAGGGTACGTTAGTTTGCAGAGCAGAGTCTCCTTCATCCAAGTGTGGACGACAGCCTGGTTACTTAATAATGGGAACTACAGAGAACGGGAGACACATGATACAAACATCTCCGCTTGACCATGTTGCTGTCTTTGATCTACGATGTCTTCTAGGTACCAGGAACGATCATTAAGTCAGAGTGAGCAGGACAATAAGACATGAACTGAAAACAACATTCAGACTCTCTACATCACTTCACAACACGCCAGTATAAATCCATTGAATCTTTGGTTTTCTGCTGATATCATGACAACCAATTAATGCCAACAGTTCTATGTTTAAATTTTGAACCCATGTTTAAATCTGAAATTCATTCTCCTTGCTCTTCAGTAAGATATATTAGGACATGGGAAACTGCACAGTATATCTCATGTAGAAAACAGCATAGTGACATGTGAGGAGGAGTCTTTATTCTGAAGTTAGATGCTCAGCCTCTCATACATCAGGGATTTATGTAGATGGTATTTCTGTTTATTCCATCTGAGCTCTGTTGTATTCTCTGGGCACTTGAAGATGTAATTCTAGCCTTCAAATCACGATTCGAACAGCTCAGAGCAGACATCATAGAAATGACTCTGAAAGACAGGAAACACAGCGGGATTTCATTGTCACTGTGAAAATACATCAGTTATAAAAACACAAATCATATTTCAGGGAATTATGTTTTCCTAAAGTACACATCGTGAGTGACAATTAATTGCAGGGTTGTATTATTGATCATTCATCCACATGTGCTTATTATTGTCATTAATTTTTGGGGGGTGAAATATTTGTAATACGACCTCTTTCATGTTACACAGAATGTGGTCGGAGCAGGACTGAGTTTCCTGTTGTGCCAGTGAAATTGATAGATTAAAAAAATCATATATATAAATCGACAGCAACATTGTGTGCGTATCTTTCACATCTAATAAACACAATAATAAGCTTTGAAGTCATGTCTGCTCATCTCAGATCACTTCAGTGAAGGTTTACTCTACATGCCCCGATATTTGCTACAGGCACAAAACGTCTCTCATTTTTAAACGAAGCAGAGATGTTATTATCATTAAGGTGCAATAACATAAAGAAGAATATCATTATCCTTCTTTCTATACTCCTCCTGCAAAATAGTCACAACATACTTTGCTCTTTGAAGACATCTAGACCCTGAGACGGACAGTCTGCCCTCCCCAGCGTGTACTTCCACCCCTTCGTGCCCTGTCCCTGCCAGCTCGAGGTCCCACTAAGGATAAGTGGATGGGGGGGGGGATATTGCTTCTAGAGACTCCATTTTATTCTTTGTTGCTGTGTCCACCTACTTGTGGCCATGTAGGCTACTTAGACAAAACTGTCCTCATAGGAAAATGCTATGAAAATGTCAAAACAATACCACAGGATTCCAGGATTCATATTACCCAGAAGTAATAATATGGAAACACATTTACAAAGATAATACAAACCATTTAGTTATTTATGTGCCATCTATGCAGAAAAGTTTGGTTTAAATATTAAAATGCTGGTTTCTAATTGCCCAGTCATTATGACTGTAGACCTTTAAAAAACCTGCTTTGAACTTACATGTCCACATTCGTATGCATATGCCACACTGGGCACAGACGCTGGCGATGTTTAAAGCCTGAGAACACTCCCGGCTGAGCAGACAGTTTCGGGTCTTCAAGCAACATTCTTTACAGCCGTTGGTTCTGTGCTTCTCATCGCCTTCCTCTCTAGTGCTGTAGCAGCAGCCCATACCTGCTCCCCAAGCTGCCGACGTCTGACTTGAGCCAGGCACGCCCAGACAATTCCTGCATATCCAGAAGCAAGAGATCAACAGCACTGAATGCCACCATACCCAGGGGCTGTGCAGCAAAAGAAAGCAATGGACTGGGATACAGTATTCAAGCAAAGCAGCCTCATCTAAAATGTCAATCACACCTTTTGTTTCCTAAAAGTGCAGACTTGTGTTACAATTTAACAACTTACAAAGCAACTTAAATGAAATTGCATCAACAGTCCTGAGGTTCTAATACATATCTCTTTCTAAAAGAGGCTGGAGTACATCAATCAAAGACTACAGGTAATATTCCTATTAACTATACAGGCACACAGTGACTGAGCAGGCTGCTATAATTTGAGGCTGAAGCAGATGATTCATTGCATATCAATAAATGGGCTTGTCAGTGCTTGTTGATCCTTGCTGACTGCTCCCTCTTCCATGATGTGGGTAGATATACTGTAGATCACATAGATATTAAAAGAACAGAATTCATTTTGCATTAAAAACAATATTTAGATTTGATAGATATTTTACAACTCTGTCTACAGGAGAGAAGACTCGGCAGATCTCCATGAGCTATTAGGAGTTTGATGTCGGGTCTAATTTTAGGGGTTTCAGTCAGGCATCCGGGGCAGAGTGTTTCAATGGTGGAGCAGCTGGAGATGCTGGCACAGCCCTGACCTGCCAGACTGACAAGGACACCCACTCACTACACCCCACTAGGCTGGCTGGGACAATGAACATCTGCAGGGATGGAGAATGGGGAGGACTGAGGGAAGCAAGACTGAAATCTGGGAAGGTGAGTGCTTGGCCAATGGGCTTTACCTTCTACACTTTTATTTCAAGCTCCTATAATGCTCTTCTCTGCAATAAGATCCAAGCTTTATGTTTTCCAAAAGCAGGATACGGACCTCAGACTTTTCCATTATCACAGCAACACTTGACTTTGTGTGGCATTGTAACTTGTCATTTTTAATAAAAAAATGATTCACAGTGAACTGGTTGGTGCGCTTGCTATCACCTGTGAGTCCACCCTTAGTACTTACAATATGAGCAAACAAACTGTCTTTGATATTGATTTGAACTCATTCTCTCTTTACTGCTGTTAATATGAGAAGATAGTGTGCCTGAATTATCCAGTCTTTGCATTACAAGCAAAGGATCTTTCTGTCCTTGACTAGGATTCACTTTTACCTTTTGCTTGACACCTTTAATAAACCTACAGTACATCACTCCAAAATGAAAATGACACTATTCTTAGAATTTAGAGCTCTGGCATTTATTATAAAAGACAGACAATTAAATCTCCAACTATGCCAGCAAGGATGACATTTGAACATCATAGTTCTACAGTGCTGGTGATCAAAAACATGTAATAAAATCCATCAAGAGCTCCTATCATGAATGCTTACACTTAGTAGAGAAAGTACTCTAGAAGACAAGAAATGTATTAACTACAGCTACATCATCAGCTAGCCAATTTATAAAAAGAATTCAGCTCTTACCTTTGTCAGTTTCTCCTTCTGTACTTTCTCTTAAATCCTTGTATCTTTCTGTATGTTTCTTACTATTTCTGTCAGCCTTAGCAATGCAGAGTCTAATGTGTGTCTCCACCTTCCACAGCAGCAAAGAGCTGGCAGTGCATTCCTTGGGCAGCTTCAGACAACCACACGGGCAGGTTGTACCAGTTTTGCCTTTTGTCTGCCTGCTAGCTTACTTTGTAAAGGATACAGACATTGACTGCAAGAGTCATTGAATACAACTCAATGGAATAAAATGCAAATGTATTATACGGCGCCCATCAGACCAAGGCATCCTATATTAGTGTAAATAAATTCTGCTTAGAAACTCACAGGCAGCCAGTGTCAAGACCTCCACACCAGGGTGATGTGATCAGAGAGGCAAGCCCAGGTTACTCGCCTGGCATTTGCCACAATATGAAACCTTTCTTTTCTTTCTTAGTAACTGTGCACAAAAAGACAGGTGTAGTTCACAAGCAACAACTAAAAAACAGTCTCCCTATAGTGACTCTTTATTTATCTGTAAAGGAATCTTTTCAGATAAAAAAATATATATTTAAAAGCTCTTGATATGTGGTGTTTAATGTGCAAGCCAAGAAAAGTGAACCAGTTGTGTTGTTAAATTATTCTCTTGAAGGAATTCCACTAATTCCCCCTGGGAAAGAGTGATTGTATACTGTATTTCCAAAACACCTGTTCAGTCAGTAGAACTCTTGCAAGACATTTATTCTACTTGTATTTTAAGAAATGCATCTGTCATCTTTCTATATATACACTATCATCTTTCTTGAACCCTGGCCTTTGATGATACACCATTTACCTTACCAGACAAACCCTGGGTGATGGGGCAGTGAGTTATCACCCCCCCCTCCCAAAAGGAAAGAGGCAGAGACTGTGGAGAAGAGTGTGGGTTCAAACACACTAGTATTGATCGATACAGGTGACTCTGAACCACTAATTTTCTTGATAAACAACTATTTGAAAGTGATCTCGAGCACAGCTTTCATGCTTTCATCATTAATAAACACCAACATCACACCAAAAGATACATTACAACCAACATTGTTGTGTAACTGTCTCTAATCAAATATTAGGCCAAACTAGAAATGCCTTGGTGGTGAATGTAGCCCTCCATCACAGACAAGAATGATCAATACATCCCCACTGGGGCTACAGTCCTACAGGTCTAATTTTTAATTTGAAAAGGTGAAAACAGGCTATTTGTACAACAGCCAACTGAAACCCAGCTTCATAGATTTGTCACCTCACCAATTGTCAACTAACAATTGTTCAGGCGTTGGAAAATGACATATCATTTCCCATTTCTTTCTGGGGAATGATCTTCACACAAGAACGTCTTGTCTCCACCTACTGCCCTCTTACACAAGGCAGAGACTGGAATGCCTTAAATAATACTCTGTGAAATATTCATATCCAGAAATTATTTTCCTGTTAATGCTCTTAGATGGATGACATTTTGCTAGTGAGAAAGCTGTGACAGGGCTCAGATTCTTTAAACCATCTCTGATGAGTCCACTTTCCCTGCCTTTTTCATTTTTCTTACATACTGTTGCTGACAGACTGTGGATTTTGTTTTATGTGTTGGATTGTGTTGGTGATACAGGTAGATACATTCTGGGTCTCTTCCTCAAATTAGCCATGTGAAATGACAGAATACTGTACATTCACGGAAAAATGACCATAATCTGAGCCAGCTGCCTGTACAGGTGCCTCTGAGGGTCACCTTCCCTAACATCAAGTCAAGCTGCAAGATAGAGGCTGAGCACAGACAGGCAGCACACTGGTAATAACAGGCTGCGTTATTTTACTCATACAGTGAGTTTCAGCCCTTCCTGAGACTGACAAAGCTATGCTGTTTTCAATCTTCTACATTCCCTGAAATAAATAGATATATTTTGGTGTAAATGATAGGGAGACCAGCGTGGTGGAATTATAAACAGCAGGATTAGCAAATGACCTCTTCAACCCTGTATGGCCTGTAGGAGTTTTTCTTTATTTTCAATGCAGAGCATCAGGCAAATTGCTTTGGAATTATTTCATTATGGTAGGTAAAGATTAAAGAGTTTAGAGAAATGTTACTGCATGCTCCAAACTAATTTCCATATTTTTGTTTCAGTAGAGAAAATGTTTTCTCTAGCGGAATACAAAATAATGAAAGGGGTTTGGTGTGTGTCACAACAGATCTCCAGTCCACTTTTTTTATTTACCATATTAACACCTCTGATCCGTTACTGCACGAAGTATTTTTTCACAGTGCCAAAAGTACAACAAACAATATGATCAGGATGCTTCTCAAAGCAACCAACACTGAAACGATAAGAACAACACATTCTGCAAAATAATGAATCTATTTCCAAATCCAACATACTGAATTTACTGTAAAACGTTATGTTTATACAGTATATTCTGTCCTATAATCATCCTTTTTCTCATTATTTATCTGAATATTATTATTTAAAAATTAAAATAAACTTTGAACTATTTACATAATCCAAAGGCATATATTATCAAACAGAAGACCTTTAGTGGCAATCTAGGTGTTGAGAATTTTGTCTTGCAATTACTATTACTAGGATATATAAGGATAATAAATCTAAATATATTCTGTCATTGCATTGCTTCACATGTATGTCCACTTCTCTTTTTACAGTCAAGCATTATATTTTATATATTTATAATATGGATTTTCGTAACAAAACATGTTAAGAGCAAAGAACAATATTTTCTTTGGTATCTTAACAGTCATTTTGTCATTTAATTGCTAACTGTATGAGCCATACTTATTTGGAAATCAGGGGTGTATGAGAAAGGGACAGTCTAGCTATTTTAAAGCTAAAAAAGGATGTCTGTCTACTTGAAATTTTTAATATATATATATAATGAGAGGCAATTAACTATTATTGATACAGCCTAATGAAGTCACCTGTGTCAATTACGTTTCATGTTGTAAAAATTATGAAGTCTTATGGGAGAGTAAATTCAATGATACTTCATATTCAGTTTAATTGAGAGCAGCAATACAATAGTAGCACTGTGCTTTGAAATATTAAAAAAATGTATCCCACATAAATAAATCTATTTATCATGTATTCTTTTTGTACAGTTTACTTTAATAAAACTCAATTAGGAAAAAAAATATTTTTACACAGTACAGTTTTGTGCAGATTTCCACTTTTTTTAATCAAATTAATATTTTTTATTGCTGGTAAAAATGAACATTTATAGACAAATGCCATCCAGGAAATATTGACTAAGTTAATCATGTTCTATGGTCTATCCTCAGACATCAATGGAAAGAATTGTTAATGTCTCTAGAATCAAACGTAACCATTATTATTTATTGTATATTTTATTCACAAATAAGGAACCAGTAATACTTTTTGGATTAACGCAACTTGAATAAAACATAATCTTCAGAAGTTAGAAGAAAAGCTGAAGATTGAGCAGATTTGACCACAGTTAAGGAACTGAGGAATTAATATAGTGAAGGATTAAGGAAACATTCTTAATGACAGCAGCTGAGCATCACACAGGGCCTCAGCTTTCCATCACTTCAGATGCACCGTGGTCAAGGAGTACAAAGGAAATTGCAAGTGAAGACCAGTACAAACAGTTGTGATATTTATCTCCTTAGAAGAAAATGTGCTGCTGCTCCAGAAGCTTTCCTTTCCTTTCCTAAACTCGTCCTGATTCAAGCATCATAATTCTCACAGCAGAAGACTCTTACTGTTGTTACACGTGCATAGAGCCCATGAAATGAGCCATTTTATTCCTGCTTGGGTCTTACTCCTCAAGTTTATTGAAGGGGTGGATGGAATCTTCCTTCACCCTCAAGATCTCTAAGTCAATAATGAAAATGAGGGCTTTTTAGGGTTAATAACGGTCAATTCACGAGGTTCCAGAGAGGAGTACCATCCATCCATTCATACATTTTCAAACTCCTTTATCCAGTAGAGGGTCATGGGGGAGTGGGGAACCTAACCCAGCAAGCAACTGGCGCAAGGTGGGATACATCCTGGTCAAGACAAGTCAAGAGGAGCAACAATCTCACCCAATACTTGTCGGTGTTTGTTCAGAGAAATGGCAGGAATGAGAGTGTAGTGGAGCCCTTAGCTATTGACAGAATTATCTTCTCCGTGGATGTGGATGTCTCATGAGTCAATGCAAAGTCTTGTTAACAGAAAGGACACTGCTACCTAAGCAACCCATAAGCAGCCAGACAAACTGCAGTTGACTAAAGTTGGTCTTAATCTTGTTTCTTCTAGAGCTGAACAGAACCATTTGCTAAGGGGTTTGAAAGAACAAAGATTTGCACCTATCCACACCCCTCGCACCCCACTCCCACTCCCACTCCCTCGCACGCATATCCACACAGCCAGGCCATTGTTCCTGTCTGCATTTCATGTGATGAGGCTACAGTCTCATTGATTTCTCCCTCCTCTCTCCTTTTATCGATGGTTCCGTCACTTATTTATGTCTTTGTGGACATAAATACAGTAGCTCCCATGTGTCTTCTGTGTCCGGTCAGTACTTCTGTATGTATATCAGCACTTGGCCCTACTGCCTGCTCATCAGATGAATAACAGTTTATGCTATAAAACAGTGCAAGATTTACTGCCCCTGTCATGGGGAATATGGCAGGCAGGGGTGAAATATGGCAATGAGGAGGGTATAGTGTCGCTAACCACTCCAACTTTTAATTTGGATTGGCAACAACCTGCCAGGGATTTCATATATCATCCTTTATTTCTGAGGGTCCTGCTCCAGAGCTGAGTGGCTTTCAATCATTCCTGGCAGGGAAGTTTTATTGAATAATCCGGGGTGGAGCGAGGTGGTTGCATTTATAGTGATTGGATGACACTTTTCAATTTAAAGAGATAGAGCTCCCTCCCCATACCCCTGCAAGTTAACACACACTCATCCACAGGTTGCACCAGGATGAACTGGAGAGAAGATAAAGCACAGGGTAGGACAATAAATCTAACACTGGAGGGGAATTGTGCTGTGATGTATTGAATGAAATCCATTAGGACTCTGGGTGAGAAGGTCTTTGTTAAGGTATCCGA